TACAGAAAGGTGTTTGTTAAAATTAACAATCAGTTATTTGGTCCAAGATATTCTTGTAGGGGTGTATCACAGGGTGGTGTATTGAGCCCACTGCTTTTTATCCTATTCAGACATCAGCTAAATTTAACTCTGGGGTTTGAAGTATCTAATCTGCAGTTTGCAGATGATTTAGTTGTTTATTGCTCTGATACTAATCTTTTACATGTACAATCAGTCCTCGATGTTGCTCTCCAAAGACTAAAGAACTATTTTGATAGCCTTGGGTTGGCGGTCAGCAATGAAAAAAGTAAAGTTGTTGTCTTTTCAAAAAATGGAATTAGAAATGGGAATGTAAATATTTTGTTCAATAATAATGTAATGTTTGTAGAGAGCTCTGTAAAGTTTTTAGGTGTTATTTTTACAAACGATTCTAGATGGAATAAGTATGCTGAAACTCTAGAATCTCGAGTTTTAAATGCTTGTAATGTTTTAAAATCTTTAACAAGCACATATTGGGGTGCCGATCCAAGGATTCTATTAATATTGTATAAATCATTAGTAAGGAGTCATTTTGAATAAGCTTTTTTGTTTTGCAGGGGTAAGAACTATAGTAGATACAAAACAAATGTTTGCATATTATAATGGGTGCCATGCGAACTACTCCCATAGTGTCAATGCAGGTGGAATGTAATATTAGCACTTAGGTTTAAATACTTACAATCAAAATTTTTTGCAAGGTTGCTCTCCATTAGTAATCATCCACTTCTTGTTAAACTGCGGTACACTATTAACAGGACTACCAATATTCATATGTTTCACAGTTTTTCTGAAACAGAACAAATTTTTAATAAACACAATATTTTTCTAGCATGGTATGGCTTTGTTACTCTGGGTTATATGAATCAAAATTTATACAAATTAAAATTGTATTCAAAAATCTTCTTGAGTATAAGGAAGACATTTATAGGGAACTTGATAGGTGGCAGGGATATCATCAGATATATACAGATGGGTCTAGGAACAACGAAGCAGTCTCTATAGCTGTCTATGATAGTCAGATCAAAAGTGGATTCGGTCATAGGCTGAATCCACTCACAAGTATATACTCCGCTGAATCCATAGCTGTATATACAGCTATGGAGCACATTCAAACACAGACTCATCCTAAGTGGATTATAATAACGGATAGTTTAAGTTTATTAACGGCACTACAAAATCCACAATTAAATTCACAACCTAACTATATCTTTATATATATAATTCTCCTGTGAGTTTGTATGTCACTGAACTTCTCTCAAACGACTGGACCGATTGTGATGAAATTTTTTGTGTGTGTTCAAGGGGGTTTAGATCTGGGAATGGTTTAGATTCATAATTTTGTCGGCTGGAAAATGTTTTTTAATTAATTTTTAATTTATTAGTAGTTGTTGATACAAACTTTTTTTTTGACATTAGATTTGAGAACTAACTAATATTTCAATTATTCTGTCACACTTCAAAACACGCAGATTTATGGCTTTAATAGGTAAAATCCAAAAATATAAATAAAAAAACGTAACAGATATTTCTTGATTATAGGGCAATACGAAGTTCGGCGGGTCTTCTAGTTATAAATAAAATAAGAGAGTTGTATCACCTGCTGTCTCAAAACAAGCAAATAGTCCTATTCTGGACACCAGCCCACATTGGTGTTCATGGTAATGAGCAAGCAGACTATTTAGCTAAATTTATTACAAATCCGGCCCATAATCAATTAAGTCACAGCTTTTTAAATTTCCCAATTCTTTATTCAGACGCTCTACCCCTTTTCGAACTGACGTTACAGAAAGAAATTACAACTTGTGGCAATCAGGTGGTAAAGATAAAAGGAAAATGGTTCACTACAATAAAGAAAAAGGTTTCTTCCCCCTGGTTTACCCAGGGTAGTGACTATAGCCATAGAAAGTATTATACCACAATCTGTCGTTTGCGTCTGGGACATACACATATGTAGTAGTTTTGGTGCTCACCTTTTTAGGATTGGTGTTTTTGACTCTTCAACTTGTAGATATTGCAATAATGCTGATGAAACCCTCGAACATATATTTTTTGAGTGTCCACAGTTTAGTATTCAAAGGATGGTCCTTGTAGACCAACTTTTAAGTATTTTTAAAACTGGTGAAGAGCTCCCTTCAGCAAATACTAAGCATTCAAGAATGGTTCTTGCCAGTTTATGGCTTTATTGTTTCTACTATAAATGAAATCTAATTGTTATATGTACATATGTATATAATACTAATTTTTTTGTTTTGTTTAAGATATTTGTTTTTCAGCTATTTTCAGAATTTGACAGTTTTATCGATTGTGATAAATGAATTGTAGTAAAAATGACATTACAAGGACTTGACATTGAAAAAAGACGGAATGTAAAAAAAACAAGAAATTGACAAAAAAAAATATTTTAAATAAAGATAAGGCTTCGTCCTTATAATTAAAAAGTGATTCTAGAAAAAATTAAAAGAAGACATTGCTTAGGCCTGATATAAAAACTTGAGTCAATAATAAAAAAGTAGATTAAGACATTTAAAAATAATTAAAGATACAAAAGACATGGCTGTATGGGCTTTGTTCTCTTTGCCTGTTCTGAACCGAACGAACATAACCAAAAAAAACTCTATAACCTTTAACTAAAACTGTAAATGTCAAAATAAAATATTCAGTTTGAAAGGCATTTATCATTGCTTTATTAATTAAAAATAATTAATGAAAAAACAAAAATAATAAACAAAAAAAATATTTCGGTGGAATACATATCATAAAATTTCAAATGTTTTTTTTTTGCATATTTACGTAGTTGTAAACATATGTGTTTAAGCACTTATTTTACTACTTTATTTTTCTACTTCTAAAGGAAAATCTCACGGAACATTAGGATGGAGAATGGTTGACTTGAATTTACCGGGTTCTACAATGAAGAGTAATAGGTTTCGTCATAGCATGCTGAGAAAAGAAAGCTTTGCAATGTGGACCGATTAAGCAGGATTTAAAACAATCAAACTTAAGTCTCTCAGTAAACACTATATTTTATCAGCAAACTTTGAATGCCTTGATGATTTTTTAATGTACATCAACAAATATTCACACTAATGTATATCATAATTTAAATACTTAAATACATTATTTGTCTAATAATTATTTAGAATGAGAGGTATGAGATTAAAAAAAATATTAATGTTTAATTTGTAAAAGTAAATGTATATTTTCTTTTTACTTAGAAATAAATAAGAACATTTTATTTTCTTTAAATTTTATATATCAGATCCAATCATTACAGTATTTTATTCTTGCTGAATTCTTAAACTGCTTACAGCAAAAATCAATAAACGTACCATAAACACTAGACTAAAGTCATAGACTCAGGTCAGCTGACATATTTTTTATCATTGGTCTTGTGATAAGTTGTTATACTCCGCCATTCTGGGATCGTCTTTTCCATCATAGTTGTCCCGTGAGTTCATTTTTACTCTTATGCTGAATATATTGCTTTATTTTAATTTTCTTTCTTTGTGTTTGTGTTAGTAATAGTGTAGTATTGATTAATATTTGTACTGTCGGTAAGCTTAAATGTATTTGTCTAGTTTTTTTCAAGTAAATTATCGCGACATATAATGGCACGTAATTTCTTGTAATATTTTGTTTTTTCTTAATTACTATGTACATTTGAAATGTACGTTTCAAGACTAATAGTTTTCGAATAATCTCATTTTATATATATTTGGGTCCCCTACGTGTAGTTGTTGTTACCACCCATTCATCATGTGACTGTTCAAAAAATCGATTTTTGTTCCTAAACCATCCAAAATAAAGGGTTAATTCGATTCCGTCTTACGTCATATAAAGTTAACTTAAAATGCGTATGAAGGGCCGAAAAGATTCCATTATTTTCATAAATTTTTTTCATCAAAATTCTTTTCTTGATATAGGCCTTGAGCAAATTTCAGGTTTAAGATTTATTCCTCATTATGAAGCAAATATACAGTAATTTTTAATTTCCACTAAAATGTACAAACTCACTAAGTAAAATAGTATTTTTGCTCTTACAATAATAAATTCATTATGTGTGAAAACAGATAAAAGTACATACTATTGATTTTGGTAATATTTATTTAAATAAATTGTGATCTATAATCACTTCAACATCATAATTTAATTGTTAATAAATATATTCTTATAATTTTGCTATATAAATAGGCTAATCATATATCTTAAGAGTAATCAGATCTTTATATTAAGAGTACCAGTTTGGACGAGTAAAGCACCAGCCTATTTGAATTCTTATGTAATACAGATGTTAATATCCCCGGTTTACATAATGATATCTAAGATTTTAACATATATACTCATTTTTATAAAACCAAGTTTGTCCAATACTATACATTTTTTATAATTATTATAACTACATAATCCTAGCGTTGTGGTTCCTTAATTGCAGTCACGACCATGTCTATATGAGATGAAAAGTACAATTGACGTAAAGGAATTGAAATGTTGGGATTATTGAGTTAGAAAATAATAAGAAATGCATAGTATCCAAAAAAATAAATTTCATTCCTGATGGCTATTATAAAATATAGTTTCCTCAGATTCCCCTTTATGTTTATGTGTCATAAGTTCTATGTTAGGAAATTTTTGATTTCAAAAATAAGTTTAATAAGATATTCCTGGTTTTATTTTTCTATCTCCATTGACAGTGATTGATGATGGTTATCAGTAGATAGCGGCTGTCAGCTGACTTGTAACTATTTCTGTGATCATTCAGATCACTCGTCTCAACTAGTACAAATTTGTGATCTCTGGGTTAATGTGGGTTATTAATTAATGTATGAATTTCTTTTTCAACCGGAGCTATTATAATTAGTTTTGAATGTGGCAACTATCTGTTATTATATTCTTTATGTTATTTAAATGCAGTTAATTTGTTTTTAATGTATTATAATTAATTTTGTTAATGTGTCCACAGGAACAAAGAATAAAGGTTCAATATGGCGGCAAAGGGCGGTTTGAAGACGATCGCCGGGGAGGAAAATGAAGACAGATTCGGTTATGTGTTTGCTGTATCTGGACCTGGTATGTTATTATAATAAGAATTTGTAACTACATTACAAACTTACTGTTGATGTGTGGATGAACATATTGTTGAGGATAGTGTAAATCCAATGGGATGTGAAAAAATTACCTTAAAAGTTAATTTAGAAAATATTTCAACTTAAACTTTTTGATAATCTGCTTCCAATGCAGATACGCGGAATTATCCAATGGTGGCTATGAGGATTTTGCACTATCCCTGACGATATGATTGTATCATTACAGTTAGAACACATGATGAAATGTTTTAATGTGTTTGTTTCACAGTCGTCACGGCAGAGAAGATGTCTGGATCAGCTATGTACGAGCTGGTGCGTGTCGGATACAACGAATTAGTAGGAGAGATCATTCGTCTTGAGGGTGACATGGCCACTATACAAGTGAGTGGGACTTATTATTAAAATGATCTGAGATATTCTAATATAAATATTATTTCTTTTTACACTTTATATAGTTAAGTTATTTTTGATTATAACATAATTGTATATGTTCATGTTCAATAATTTACATCACTTGTGTTAGGTATACGAGGAAACCTCAGGTGTAACAGTAGGTGACCCCGTCCTCCGTACTGGCAAGCCTCTGTCCGTGGAGCTTGGTCCGGGTATCCTGGGGTCCATCTTCGACGGGATCCAACGACCCCTCAAAGACATCAACGAGCTCACCAGCAGCATCTACATTCCCAAGGGAGTTAACGTCCCCTGTCTGGCTAGAGAGGTCGACTGGGAATTCAACCCTCTCAATGTTAAGGTGGGTGTTCAAGGCGATAAGGCTCAATTTTCAATGTGCGGAAATATTTGTAATTAAGAGACGTGTGAGCGTTGTAATGGTTTATTAGTAACTAGCTAATATTTAAAATTTACAGAGCAGAGTGGACTGTATTTCATATACCCACATAATTATGAATATAAATATGTAATATTAATTTCTAACAAAGGGCGAGCCAATCAGCTGTGTTTTATCTTAGACATTCCGCCCACCAAAGAACACGGTTCTTTCACACAGTATACATTTTAACAATAGTAATAATGACGAAGTGTCATGACATAGCTATTAACACTATTAACATCTGATTAACTCGCATACATAAATATAACAAAATGTTCGTAAATACAAAGAAATAAGATATCCTTAAATAAAATTAAACAAATGGTAATCAACCGCCCACCGTACTGTAGCACGGTTGAAATGAAAATTTAAAAATACATTACATACAATACATATTATTTGGTAAGGATTATTATTTTGCTAACAGGCCTTTTTAATATACCGTTTTTACATTTAACAGATACAACTCTAGTGATTTTATCAGGGCCAGCATGTTTATCTACAATTTTACCTAATAACCATTTACAAGGTGGCATATTGTCCTCTCTTAAAATTACTATGTCATCGATTTCGGGCTCAGCTGTTTTGGTATTCCATTTATAACGATTATTAAGATTTGTAAGATATTCTTTATACCATCTGTTCCAGAAATCGTTGACCATTTTCTGAGTTAAACGCCATCTCTCAAGGTGGCCTACATTACACTTGGTAAATCCTTCGTCAGCGAGGTTTACTAAAGGTTCGCCAATCAAAAAGTGACCCGGTGTCAGCGGGAGAGGGTCGTTAGGGTCGTCACTGAGAAGTGACATAGGACGTGAATTTAAACAAGCTTCTACCTGAGCTAAAACTGTTGATAGTTCCTCATAAGTGAGTGTAGTGTCCCCTATGACTCTTTTTAAATGTGACTTAGTACTACGAACCCCAGCCTCCCATAATCCCCCAAAGTTTGGAGCGTGTGGAGGTATAAAGTGCCACGTAGTTCGCTCTAACGTTAACAAGTTGGCGATTTCATTTGACATTGATGATTTTAACATATCTCTTAAAAGTTTTTCAGCACCTACGAAATTAGTGCCATTGTCACTATAGATATCTTGACAATGCCCACGTCTCGCAGTGAATCTCCGGAACGCTGCTATAAATCCCTTAGCTGTCAAATCTGTGACCACTTCCAAGTGTATGGCCTTACTTACCATACATACGAAAAGGCATATATAACCCTTATACGACTTAGATCCCCTTCCGGGTGAAAATCTAATGTTAATTGGACCTGCATAGTCCACGCCTGAAGATCTAAAGGGTCTGTTAGGTTTGATTCTGACCTGCGGTAGTTGACCCATTAGCTGAGAGGTATTTTTGTTAGAATAACGAATACAAGTGGTACACTCACGAAAGTATTTTTTCGTTTCATCTTTAGCCCGCAATATCCAGTATTTTGACCGCAAATAATTCAACATTATTTGTGGCCCGCCATGCATTGTCTTTTGATGGGCGTCTGCGATTATCAGTCTGCTCAAATGATTTTTATCGGGCAATATTATAGGATGACGAGTCTCATAAGGGATTTCCGATTGTTGAATTCGACCACTGACTCTTAAGATCCCGTGCTCGTCGAGAATGGGACAAAGCATGCGGAGTTTACTCCTTTTGGGCACACTTCCATTCGCTTTTAACTGGGCAATGTCTTCTGTGAATTCTCTTTCCTGTACTTGCTTTACACACATATTTAAAGTATCATCAAGTTCCTTTACTGTTATAACTTTACTAAAGCTTCGGTTGTATTTTAGCCATCTTCTACAGTACGACATTATTCTTAACATTTTTGATAAATTTGAAAATTTAGTCCAGACAAACTCTTCAGCTGGGTTTAACACAACTGTAAACGAGCTAGTTTTTTCTTCTTCGATTGTATCTGCGATCTCGTCTCTATTCGTTTGTGTGTGAATTGTGTCCGTTGACAACCAAGCTGGACCACTCCACCACAGTGCATGGCTCAACAACTCCGACGCCTGTAATCCTCGCGACGCACAGTCAGCAGGGTTTTCTTCAGTAGCAACGTGTCCCCATTGCTCAAACTCTAATATATTCAATATACCCGATACCCTATTGCTTACGAAGGTGTTCCAGCGGCTTGCTCCGCCTTTAAGCCACGCAAGCACTATTGTTGAATCCGTCCAAGCATGTAGATTTGATTTCGGCACACGCATCACCTCAGATATTTCGAAGAGTAATTTTGATGCTAATACTGCGGCACATAGTTCCAACCGAGGTATTGAAAGTTGCTTCTCAAAGGGCGCAACCTTTGTTTTCGCTGATATCAGATTAACGTAAACTCTGTCTTCATCAATAACTCGGAGATATACTACGGCCCCGTATGCTGCTTGTGAAGCGTCTGCAAATGCATGTAACTCGGATCTTGAAGTGGACGAGCATCCCAACCATCTCGGAATACTGACGTGTTGAATGTTAATCAAATTCTGTCTGTAATGTAACCATTCCTCGAGTAACTCACCATTTATCGCTTCGTCCCAACCTAATCCAGTTTTCCATAGTTTTTGAATAATAATTTTTGCTATAACAATAACAGGAGCTATCCATCCCAGAGGGTCATATAATTTAGCTACGTCAGACAGGATGTTTCTTTTGGTTACTAATTGCTTTATTTTAGGCATTGAGATTGTATATTCGAAATTGTCTGTTAAGCGGTTCCAAACTACACCTAACACCTTTACTATGCTGTTAACCTTAAGAGGAAGCTCGTCATCGATGCGTTTGTTTTCTCCGATGTATTTCAGGACGTTCTCGTTGTTACTGCTCCATTTTTGCAATTTGAATCCTCCTAAATTCATAAGTTTATTCATCTCATTGTATATAATCTTAGCCTGATGCTCAGTTTCACAATTAGTCATTAAATCGTCAATGTAAAAATCGGTTTTCGTTATGCTTGCTGCTAGTGGATATTTCATTTCTTCATCTTCAGCTAGTCTTTGCAACGATTTAACGGCTAAATATGGTGCGCATGCTGTTCCGAAAGTCAATCTTAGAAGTTTGTAATGTTTTATGGGCTCATGCTCATTGAACCTCCATAAAATTCTCTGATAGTTAGTATCTTCTTCTGCCACACGTACCATTCTGTACATTTTAATTATGTCAGCAGTAATACATATTTTATAAATTCTCCACCTCATGAGTAAGTGCCGCAAGTCCTGCTGCAATTTAGGGCCTATAAGAAGGTCATCATTTAAAGACACATTGTTAACACCTTTGCATGAGGCGTCGAAGACTACCCGAAGTTTTGTAGTATCTTTATCTTCTCTTATTACTGCATGATGAGGTAGATACATTGCTCTAGGGTTGTTGATATCCGTAGGATCTACTTCAATCATGTGATTCATGTTTAGATACTCTGCCATTACTTTATGGTATTCTTTTCGTAGCATTTCAATTTTCGATAACTTCTTCTCCAAGAGAATGAACCGCTGCGTTGCTATATTCACTGAATTGCCCTGTAAACATTCTGGATTATCCTTTTTTAATGGCAATCTTACAACAAATCGTCCGTCTTCATCTCGAACTGTAGTAGCATTGTATAAATTTTCACATCTTATCTCGTCACATGACATTCTTTTTTGAATGGTATTTGGCTCATTTTCTACTTCCCAAAATAGCTTAAGCATCTCATCTTCGCTGTGTTGAATGTGGTAACTGATGATGTTTCCTCTATCAGAAGAGGACTCTTGTTCTATTCTTCCAGACAAAACCCAACCTAAAATCGTATTTTGTGCTAATAAATTGCCTCGCGGATATTTACGAATGCCTTCTAATAAAATTTGACTATATACTTCCGCTCCAAGTAAAATATCTATTTTACCTGGTGTATCAAAACATGAATCTGCTAACTCCATGTTTAATAAGTCAGACCAGTGGGGAATACGTACACTAGCGGCTGGTAACAAAGTTGTTAACGTTCGTAGTACATACGCATCTACGTGTATTGATATATTGGGATTGTGGCGTGATCTCACTGTTAATGAAACCATGTATTTGATTCTCGTTTGCCCTTCTCCCACACCTGACACCCAGCCACTCACCGATTGACGTTTAAGATTGAGTAACTGTACTGTCTCCTCGGTCACGAAGGATGCCTGTGATCCCTGATCTAATAAACCTCTTATAACATATTTACAACCATTTGTACTATATACTACCAACTGAGCAGTTGCTAAAATGACACTGTTTCGTCTCATGCTTTCTTGTGAGAAATTGGCCACAATATGTGTGTCATTGTACATATGATTAGACTTACCTCTGTCCGCTTTATTCACCGTACCTGTAGACCCACTCTCGATAGGCTGCTCAGGCCGGTGCACATTGTGTTCCTTTTCGAAGTGCAACAGTGAATGATGACGCCGCCCGCACCGTCGACAGCACGATGACTGACGACATTTGACCACCGCATGTGTAGGCGCCAAACAATTGAAACACAGTTTGCTCCGCTGGACAAACTCCTGCCTCTCCTTACATGACATGTCACTGAACGTCTTACACTGATAAATATAATGCTCTCCATTACATAGTGAACATTTAACTTCTTGTTTCTTTTCAACTTTGGTAATATTTGAATGAAACATTTTGGGTTTGATTGTAGGTTTGGATTGTACCAATCTTGGTTTATGGCTGTCTATCATTTCTAAAGACCGGAATCTCGCCTTCAAAAAGTCACATAATTGCTGCCACGTGGGGATGACGTCATTACTCATACTTAATTGTTGTTCCCACAGTTTCACAGATTCAGTATCCAGCTTAGAAATGATTAAATAGTTTATAAACATATCCAAACAGGTCTCCGTATTCATATCCATATTCTTCAAAGATTTTAAACATGTCGATGTAGTATCCACTAATTGTTTTATAGAAGAAGCGGAAGTTGTTTGTATAGGGTTTTGGTTGAATAACGTTCTTAAAATCTCGTTACAATTGTATCGCTTATTATCAAAGCGCGCTTGTAATTCTCTCCACGCCTCGTCGTAATTTGCATTTGTTGCAGAAAAATTGCGTAATAATATTTCTGCATCTCCCGACACATTACTTTTTAAATATTGTAATTTTTCAGCAGGAGATAATGATTTTCTATTGTGAATGAGAGCACAAAACAAATCGTGAAAGGTCTGCCACTCGTCGTACTTTCCGGAAAAAGTGGGTATTTGGATGTTAGGTAATTTTGCTTCACTACTAGAAGAAGCTTCTAGATCGGATCTCGGAATCGCGTGTATATTCGAAACATCTCCAAATGTTTGTAAAGCCTCCTTTAAAGATGATTTGTATAGTGTATATGACTCCTCAAACGTGTCGTATACGTTATCTTTAAAATATGAATATTGCTTTTCTTCGTGTTTGTTGACTGTTAATATGATGTTTTTGTGGCCTTTTTTAAATTCTTTCCAGAGTTCTTCTAATGTTTCTAATTTAGTTTCTAGATATGGTTTCTTAATCCTTTCTTTCGGTGATTTTTTGAAATTCCTTTCGGCGTTTTTCAATCTTTCCGCTAACTCGCTTTGATATATTATAAGATCTTCCATATTTATTTTCACTCTTAAGAACTGTTCTTTAACTCGAATCACAAAGTTTACTGTTTAAAATTAATTATTAATGTTTCCGAGAATCCTTATCGCACAGGTGTGTCTTTGTTCTCGACGCGAGCGCACTGGCCGGCTGGCGATCTGTATCCGACTCGTTTTGGACCAAATGTTCAAGGCGATAAGGCTCAATTTTCAATGTGCGGAAATATTTGTAATTAAGAGACGTGTGAGCGTTGTAATGGTTTATTAGTAACTAGCTAATATTTAAAATTTACAGAGCAGAGTGGACTGTATTTCATATACCCACATAATTATGAATATAAATATGTAATATTAATTTCTAACAAAGGGCGAGCCAATCAGCTGTGTTTTATCTTAGACAGTGGGAAAAGTGTTCTTTTATTGTAATATGCTCATTATAATGTTTGTATTCAATGTGATGTAAATGTGTAATGTTCGTTCAGGTGGGCTCCCACATCACCGGAGGTGATTTATACGGTATCGTGCACGAGAACACTCTGGTGAAGCACAAGATGTTGATCCCGCCCCGCGCCAAGGGTACCGTGACGTACATCGCACCCGCCGGCAACTACAAGGTGACGGACGTGGTGCTGGAGACGGAGTTCGACGGAGAGAAGAACCAGTACAGCATGCTGCAGGTGTGGCCCGTGAGGCAGCCGCGCCCCGTCACCGAGAAGCTGCCCGCCAACCACCCGCTGCTGACCGGCCAGAGGGTGCTCGACTCGCTGTTCCCCTGCGTACAGGGAGGCACCACCGCCATCCCCGGCGCCTTCGGTTGCGGCAAGACCGTCATCTCGCAGGCGCTGTCCAAGTACTCCAACTCGGACGTCATCATCTACGTCGGGTGCGGGGAGCGTGGTACGTGACTCAATACTATCTATCTTTATATATATAATTCTTCTGTGAGTGTGTATGTCACTGAACTTCTTTGAAACGACTGGACCGGTTTTGATGAAATTTTTTGTGTGTATTCAAGGGGATCTGGGAATGGTTTAGATTCACAATTTTGTCCGCTGGACAATGTTTTTTTACCTTATTTTTAATTTATTAGTAGTTCTTGATACAAACGTTCTTTTTTTGACATTAGATTTGACAACTAACTAATATGTCAATCATTCTTTCGCACTTCAAAACACGGAGATTTATGGCTTTAATAGGTAAACTCCAAAAAAAAACGTAACAGATGTTTCTTGATTATAGGGCGATACGAAGTTCGCCGGGTCTTCTAGTATACATATATAGGTCTACGTTGATATTGACAAGTTAGTTAAGTACAAGCGACACGTCTAACCGTGATGAATCCACTCAGGTAACGAGATGTCTGAAGTACTGCGGGACTTCCCCGAGCTGACGGTGGAGATCGAGGGCGTCACCGAGTCCATCATGAAGCGCACGGCCCTGGTGGCCAACACGTCCAACATGCCGGTGGCTGCCCGCGAGGCCTCCATCTACACGGGCATCACGCTGTCCGAGTACTTCCGTGACATGGGTTACAACGTGTCCATGATGGCCGACTCCACCTCCCGTTGGGCCGAAGCCCTGCGTGAGATCTCCGGTCGTCTGGCCGAGATGCCCGCCGACTCCGGCTACCCGGCCTACCTGGGCGCGCGGCTGGCCTCCTTCTACGAGCGCGCGGGCCGCGTCAAGTGCCTCGGCAACCCGGACCGCGAGGGCTCCGTGTCCATCGTGGGCGCCGTGTCCCCGCCCGGAGGAGACTTCTCGGACCCCGTGACGGCCGCCACGCTGGGCATCGTGCAGGTGTTCTGGGGCTTGGACAAGAAGCTGGCGCAGAGGAAGCACTTCCCCTCCATCAACTGGCTCATCTCCTACAGCAAGTACATGCGCGCGCTGGACGAGTTCTACGAGAAGAACTACCCCGAGTTCGTGCCGCTGAGGACCAAGGTGAAGGAGATCCTGCAGGAGGAGGAGGACCTGTCGGAGATCGTGCAGCTCGTGGGCAAGGCGTCGCTGGCCGAGACCGACAAGATCACGCTGGAGGTGGCCAAGCTGCTCAAGGACGACTTCCTGCAGCAGAACAGCTACTCGGCCTACGACCGCTTCTGTCCGTTCTACAAGACGGTGGGCATGTTGAAGAACATCATCGCCTTCTACGACATGTCGCGCCACGCGGTGGAGTCCACGGCCCAGTCGGACAACAAGGTGACGTGGAACGTGATCAGGGACGCCATGTCCTCGGTGCTGTACACGCTGTCCTCCATGAAGTTCAAGGTGAGAGGAGGTTCTATGTGTGTGTGATACTCTGTGGCTCACTCTCATGTCTAACTTGTGTGTGTGTGTGTGTGTTACAGGACCCGGTGAAGGACGGCGAGGCCAAGATCAAGGCGGACTTCGACCAGCTGCTGGAGGACATGTCGGCCGCCTTCCGCAACCTCGAGGACTAGATATATATATATATATATATGATAATGATATTCGCTGTTGTTGTTAGCTCGCTCCTTGAAATCATAGTAATGGATGTGTGTCGGCCGTCTGTAAATACTCCCCGGCCGCTCCTAGTTGTTATTTATATATTATATTTATCTGGAGCCCGTTTCGGTTCGAGCCCGGTGCATTCCAACCTATTGTTAGATTATTGAACCGCTCTATTCGTTCTCTCGTGTCTTGTAACTTGTCGCAGTATTACTAACAGTCAGCTGTTCCCGCGCGATGTTGATAGAATGAACTTATTATGAATAAAATATTAATTTTATTTTAATTCTGTTTTTGTTGTTACTCCATCCTTGATCCTGGCGTTACTCCCGGTGTGAATATAAATCTAGTATAATCTCTATTGATAGTGTAAAGTGACTTAAGAGATAATGACCAGTCATTTTTTTTTTAATAAAGGATCTATAGTAATTTATTTATATCAAAAAAATATATAATACATAACAATTTTTAAGTTAGTCGTCAGTGTTACATAGTATTTATCAAACCGGTGATATATGTACATGTACATGTATTTTAATGTCATCGGAAGTTCTAGTTAACTTATTTGAAAGGTTCTGATGATCTTCGAAGGAAGATTTTTTATGTTTAGTTTTTATATCTAGTTCTGGGAGCTGGCTTGCATCTCATGAACTCTTAGTAAAAGTTAAAGCCTTAACTCCTATCAGCTATGAACTCTGTGATTACCATATAATATGAACACCTTTAGTGGCCTCAAATGAACATTCCGTAAGTCCATTGAGTGTTTTGGACGTAATTTAAGTTTTTCCTCAAATTTTGTCACAGAGGTAACTTTCCCCCAGAAAGTAAGTATAGGAGTATTTTAACATCTTTCATTATTCTTAACAAAGAAATAAGAGGGCGAAGGGCAGAAAAAGTCGTTCCTATGCTCTTTGTATTTCTTTGCTCCACTTTAGGAATGACGTGGGAATGGTTTATAGGTGATCACTGCTTATTTGAAACCATTCTGGTTGCCTTTGAGTCCAAGAGTAAAGTTTTGTTAATAATGTTATGCACAAAAATGTTTGAATAGAACAACAGCTATTAATTGAAAAGTTATTTTAAATTTTATTAATTGCCCTTTCCTCTTTCTTTTATGACTGGCCATGTTACAGTCTTTACGTACTATTTCTGACACATAACTAAGTGTAATCAAAACGTAACATTTTGACGAGAATAAGACATTCCTCTTTTTTCCAGTATTTTGTAATTTTATTTACTAACAAAAATGGCTAGGATTCCGGATGAACCGAATATGAGTGACTCTACCTTATTGTTGACCGTCGAAGATCTTATAAACCAAGCCATGGGACCGCCTGGTGTAAGTCGATATACTTAACTTTTAATTGTCATAAATGGCTCATACCAAATTTAGGGTGTATAAGTATGCGGTGGGATAAATTAATTGTTTTCCAATAAAAGTGACTCAAAAATATTTGTGTCATTTTTTTCTCAACAAAAGACATCTAAACCAATAAAAAATTGAATATAGCCATCCACTGTTAAATTTATTTGATCGATCATTGATCTTAAAAAAATTAAAGATTTTTGTTTAAAATGTGAGAAAGGCAAAACATTTATTTTGATGTGAATAATATTATTTTAGGCCAATGTAGTGGACTTCAAATTGGTCCAAGTGGTTCTCCAAATTCTCGCACGTCAACAACGAATGCTGCAACAAAAAGTAGAAATCCAGGTTTCAGAATTATCTGAAATAACGCCTCCTAAGAAATCTAAGGGAAAGGCTTCGGAAGAATCAACTGAAAGTTCGTCCTCTAGAAGTCCTCGTTCTCTTAGGAAACGTCAGATGGCGAAGATAAAGGAAGAAAAGGAACAGAAAATAGACGAAGATAAACAAACTGTAACAGAAGAACCAGGAGAAGACGAAGAGGATGACGGAGATCAGGAAAAACGTGATAAGAGAGCTAAAAAGGGACGAGAAAAGACTGATAAAACGTCTGCTAAAGAAAAAGCTAAATCTAAGAAAGATGAAGAAAAAGCTCAAAAAGATGCGGAAAAACCTAAGTCAGAAAGTGAGTTGGAAAAAGGTCAAAAGGATGAAGAAGACAAAAGCAAACAACAGAAAGAATCGGGAAAAGGCCAAAAGGGAACAGCAAAAGGCAAATCTCAGAAAGATATGGGAAAAACTCAAAAGGTAAGAACAGGAACAGGTAAGAACAAATAGTCAAAAAGCAACAGATTTTTTTTATGATGTTATTCAACATTACGTGGAAGTTGATCTTTGATGGCGGGAAAAAACTCATTCTAAAGAAAAATTTGTACTTACTATAAATCGTAACTGAGTTAAGTACGTATAAAAAATATGTATAAAACAATTACAAGCTAGTTTAACTTACGTCTTTAATTTTCGGGGACATTTACATTTTCTTTTGCTTCTATTTACAATATATACACAATTTCCGTTAATTTTAGCTCAAATTTTACAGAAACAAGGAAAAAAACCTGATGTGTCGACTGCTACCAGTTTAACTGTCACGGGTAATATTTTATTTTAATGATATAATTTTGCAGAGTTGCTTATGATTTATAATAAAAATAATCCATATGTACATAAACGATATATCAGTTAAATCTTTGAATATTATTTAATTATTATTTTATAAATGCTAACTGGATACTGCTTAGTGCTTCACAACTGTCCCATGGTAGGAGTAATGAAGCTTAAGGTGGTAAAAGAACTGAAATATGTATGTATACACTAAGTCTTCCTTTAAAGACATTAAAATTGTAAGTGAATTAAAAAAAAGACGCGATCAAACTGTTCCGTTCTTTTGATTGATGAAGGAAGGGAAGGAAGGATGGATCTTTCGGATGATCCTCTAAAGATAAAAAGGCAATGAAGAAATGAATGTTGTAATTAGACATGTAAAAGTGTGTCACTAATGACACAGTGCTCAATCAAGAGTAACATTCCTTTACAACAAGCAGGTGTATACAAACTGGATTGTGACTGTGGCTTGTCATACCTTGGACAGACAAAAACAAGGATCGGTGCAAGGGTTAAGGAACACATTTCAGACGTCAAGAATAGGCGCGCGTCGAAGTGAGCAGTATGTGAACATGCAGTGGACAAACCGGGCCATTACATTAGATTTGATAAACCACATATCCTCGCTCGTGAAGACAGATATATACCAAGGTTAAATCCGCGAGGCTATTGAAATTAAAAAACACCCCAATTTCAATAGAGAAGATGGCTGGAACCCATCAAACACCTGGGATCCCCTTCTTAAAAATATAAATTCAAATGTCCGTGAACACACCGCAGGACCTCGAGACACCGTGAGCTCATTCTGCCGGCATCCAGAGCGGTAGGCCTAAATATTAAAAAATCGATGGCGGTAGGTGATAAAATAACAAGACCAACTGACAGACACATCTCGATCTCGTCTGCCCGTGATCACGGTTGCTGTAAAGTAACCGAAACTTCGGGATTATGTAGTTTTTGAAAAAATAAAAACCGCGTAGTATATCCGAAAAATATTAGTTACATTTAAATAAATACTCGCTAAAATCTTAGTTCTCATTATGCCGGTTTATTCAGTTAAAGCGTTTGCGAATCTCGACAGATTTCCAGTAAACACGAATAACGACAGGTCAAGCCTCTCACGGAGATAGTTGAAATATTAAAATATAAATTCTTATCTCCGCTCTTTAGTTAAACTGACCCACGTGTTAAAGTGTCCTAAAGCAATGGTTGTAAGGGTTTAAAAACTATTCATTGCAATAATTAAGTATTAAAATAATATTTGTTTTTACAGAAACGAAGCGGGATAAAGAAAATGTGATAGTAGGTATGAGATTTTTTAAAAGTTTTTCAATGTAGAATTAATTGTTATAAATATTATTTAATAGTTATGAAAAAGTAAATTAAAAAAAAATATTGTTATTTATATTTCATTTGTGACATGTATATAATTTTTTTTAGTCAATGTTTGTGTTTTTTTTACAGTGGAAAAAGGTCCGACAACTCGTACAGGTAAGTACGTACACTCAAAATGAAATTATTTTGTTTCGATATGATCTGGTAATACTATAAACTTTTACTTTTTAACCTGATTATTGAGAATGATTATGCTAGTAATTATTAATAATTAGATTCCCATGGTCGGACGAACATCGACGTCGTAACTCAGTCACAATTCGCAATTCTGGAAGCGGCGATAAAAGACCTTATGGAGGCTGCTGCTCCTCAACCTCTCGCGATGCCAAAAAATGAGAAGCTGAGGAAAGATCTCGCTAAAGGCACAGCGACCTTACCTGATGCCATGGAGGCTATGCAGGTTACAAATACATATGATGTCACAATATTAACTTAGATTTATAGTAGAATAATGAACTGGAATAGTGCCAAAACTTTAGATTACATTTGTTGAATTTTATCTTTAAATATATTTTGAACTCGACTTATAATAGTATTTTTTTTTTGATTTAAATTTTAACAAGTTTTAATACTTTTAAACACTTGTTTCGGGTATATTTTTATTTTTATTAAGTCCCAGTTTGTATTACAGGTTGTAGCTCGTATGAAGGCAGCAGAAGCCGCTATCCAGCGGATGTCAGGCCTGATTACACACCTGGCAGCTGGCAGTGACCTCCCCGATGCTGGCGACGTCTCTGATGTGACAGATGAGAAGGAAGAAAAACTACCTGAAGAGGTCTCAAAACATAGATACTTATAATAATAAAAATATTGATCACTGGCCAATAACACTTTTCTATAAGTATTGCTAGAAAACATAAACTTAAGTCTAAAGAATAAAAATATCATAAAGTTCACGTATCGGATTGTGATCAAATAAATTACTGAAGGTCAGGAATAATGAGATCTTAATAGGTACCCCTAATTAATGAATTTTAAAGGTACTGATTCTGGAGAGTGCAGGTTTTAAGGTAGTTATTCATTTAATAGACATCAGTAAGGTTATATTGGTGGTTATAAATTTCAATATTCATATTTTTTTAAACAAACAGTGGTTCATGATACAACTAGAATGATGTGCTTTTATTATTTTCGCAGCAGACGACCAAATCACGGGTTTCTGTCGCTCCAAGGAAGTCTGTAATGATCGATCCGAACGTTTCTCAAGTGTCACATATAAGTACAAAGCCGTCAGTAGCCTCGTATGTAGACACCGGCCCTTCATCCGCCTCGTCAGTGGCGGCTCCCAGACCCTCACAAGTGTCACAAGTGTCGGTCAAACCGTCCGCGTCTGTGATGTCCAAAGCTTCTTCCATGATGATGGGTCCGAGTGTCACCCAAGAAGATATGGAGTAAACATTTTTAATATAAATTTATATTTGTCAAATTACGTAAGTATTGTGGACGTTTGAAAAACATGGGGGGTAGGGGAGTCTAGCGTAAATTATTTAATATTATTTTTAATCGTCATAAAGATCCATGATAATTATATTTTTTTTCTGGATTTATATTTAAAAAAAATAATACAGTAATTGAAAATGTTTATGTCATTAAGAGCTTTGACCTGACATTTTTGTAATCTATGTACTTGAACGGCCCCTTAAATAAAATTTCTGAGACGTAAAAAAAATCTGTCTAAATTAAGTATTATGTCATAAAATTGAATAAGGACGCAATAGTTGTACATTTTGACGCCAGTATATAGTTTTTCATCAGCTATCTGTATTCTTTACTCTATGGCTAATAGTAGAATACTTTATATTTTGTTATATCATTATCAGCCCTGAGAAGTTTGCATGACGAAATATCGAAGTCTCTTAACGCGGCCGTGACTCGAGCCGCCACTGCTGCGGAAACAGCCCTGCATACTGCAGTCAATGTCGGTCAGATCATTTACGTCTTTAAATATCTACCATAATGATAGACATCTTTTTTCAATATACGGAAAGGAGAATGTTATTACAATTTGTATAAACTTACTCTGACAGAATTAAATTTAGTTTGAGTATCATTCTGTGGCCTGTTGTCATTCAGTCTGTCTAATCTTCTGAATATTTTTTCAGCAAATAAACTGGACGTAGCTCTCAAACTGGACAGTCGTATATCATCGCTGTACGCCATCGTCGGTGACTACTCGGATCAGTTGAGCGGGTTCGACGCCGGGCTCACGACACAAGTATTTATATTGTTGTATGTATAAATGTAAACAAACTAGTGGACTTTCATTTGATCGTAAAAGATATTAAAGAATGAGAAATGAATTTATTTTTTTCCTTAAAAGTCTATCAACTCTGTTTTATCGTATCGGAAACATTTATCTGTCAGTGTGTGAAATGTTCAACAGATGCAAGGCTTCAAAGATCAAATCGGCCAAATGCGTTCGGATCTCAAGAAGGGACTTCAACAATTGGACAATGTTAACAATAACGCGGAAACAGACTTTATTTAATTTAATAACTAGCTGCGCCGCTTCCCGCGGATTTCTCAAAGTAAAATTCCTGGACGTCATATACAAAATTTTATCAAAATCGGTTCAGCCGTTTGAGCGTGAAGAAGTAACAAACATACACACACTCACAAACTTTCGCAATTATAATATTAGTAGGATAATTATATTTGTAAGTTCGCTGAATAAATGCATTTATGCTAGTACATTTTTAAATAAATAAGTACCAACATATCTCTATTCATTATAAGGATTCGTTTTTAGTTTTATGTTATTGATGACTATGTTTAATATGTATGTATTTTCCAGCTGTAATGGAGCTGACGGAGCGTTACACCGAGCTGGTCGTAGACCTGGACAGCACTATGACAGCACACACGACGCTGCAGCAGCTGCAATCAAAACTGGCTGGAGAGATGCATGTTAGTCATTAAAGATTAGCTATTTCTGCCATTTCGACCACGATTTTGATAGTATTAGATTGATTCATCGTACTGTTAGTTCAAATACAGAAGAGAGTCAAATACATAACATATGTATATAAATTATTACGTAATAATCAGTCCACATGTGGCGTTAAGTATCATATTTTAGCAAAAAACAGAGTTAAGTTAAATTTTTCAGTAGTAAGCTGTGATAAATAAGAACGATTTCTTCAGTATTTGTTGGTAACAAAAGATATGGTTAGGGTCGTAAATGTAACCAGATACAGAAAATTACCTATCACTATAAATTATATTCAGTACAATTTATTTTCGAAGCAACTAAAAAATGTTTTTGTCTAATTTTAACTCCTTGGAGTATTCATAGGAATCTTGTCTAAGGGGTGGATCAAGACAAATAGAAACCTTATATTTGCTGTTTTCATCAAATTTGTGTGGAATATTCGGCGTTTCGACCGAAAGTATTGTTGATTATGGGGTATCTCACAAAATTAGTTTTTTCGGCAACCTCATTACTGACAAGAGTTTTTAACAGCTTTTTTAATGTTTTAACCTTGGCGAGGTTACTGAAACTTGCATCCTTTAAATAAATAAAAGTTTTTTATTTATAAATACTCGTACTTGACTGAAAAACTGAAAACACTCGGTATTTAGTTTGAACATAAAAACTTGTGTTAGGTAAGGTAGGTACATGTTAACAGAATAGAAAACTTAACAACAGTATTAGTTGCTTTTCAATAAGGTCTTATTCTTATTGAAATCAGTTTGTAAAAATTATCATTTGGTGACAGTAATATTTATCACTTTCCATTTATACGGTTTTTTTATCTAAAAATATTGACGGACTAATTAACTCCCACTTGAAATAATTCTTTAAAGTGCTTATTAACCACGACTTTGTTAAGTTTGTATTGAAGTGTAAATTTATTTCATATATATATACCTAATCATTTTGTCCTATCTTAAATATATAATCCTTTATTTACAGAGCTTGGTGGAGTGTGTGGAAATGCTGCGCGAACAGAAATGTGACAGAGATGAAGTCTTGGATGGGCTCCGGGATAAGGTTTACTTTGAATAATATGTACAATGTTTGTCCTCGGTTAGGTCAAACGTGGCCATAGGTTCTAGATGATCGAACTGAAGTGGTCTGAAAGAAGTGATCTAAACTATAGGTATGTAAGACTGGCTTTAATTTTACATTTAACACACGTCCAAAATGATATCTAACGAGTCCACCTTGCAAGATTAACCGTTTGCTCACCGTACAAGAGTTCTCGGAAGGAAAAAACTTCATTTCCATCTGATACTTACTTACTTATAGATATGTATAATAATGTTGACGTTATCTCAATAGTTCCTTAGATTTGTTAGTTCAAACTTCAAATAAAGTAGCAATGCATTAAAAGTGTGACGAGTTTTCGTATGCCGGAAATATGTTTCCTTCCTTCCTAACATATTTAATTTTAAAAGCAATCAATTAATTTCATGTCCATTATGACTCAAAGTTGAACGCTACAAAGGGTAACCTTTTCCAGACAAGATATACATTACTAGATATTCTCAATATTTTATTTCTCTTTTATTATGTATTACATTAATACTACGAATTTCCATTAAAGGCCGACATATCACGTCTTGCGGGCTTGTTGTCAGAGGCACAGTTCGCGACCGCGCGGACTGACTTCGAGAGGCGACTTGACCTCTGTCATGATAAATTCAACAGACAGGATTCCATGTGGACGGTAGGTATATGATTAATGGGAGTATGAAACCACTATGAGAGCAACCTATCAGATATCTCCACGTGTTTGACCTTTGAAGTTGAAGTTTGGCAAAAGTTTTTAGGGTAACGATTTTTAACTTCGCATAAAACAAATAAAAGGATTTTAAAACTAATAACTTAACATTTAAAACTAAAACATATAAACATAACACGAGACATAAACACAAATTTGAATTACCCAAGACCAGGACCAAATATGGAATTAAAACTATACAGTTTGAGGGAGCGAAACTATATAATGGCTTGCCTGACGAAGTTTTTGATGAAAAAACATTTGCGATTTTTAGAAGGAAATTATTGGGTTATTGTAGGGAGCACTTGGATTAACCGCTCTTGAGTTGTATGGTTCGTTGCTACTGTACTGAATTGTTGTTTGAATTGAACTATGTAATACATCTCATTCAAGTGAACATTGTATGTTCTTTATGAGCAATAAAGTTCTTTAACCACACAAGGATTTTGTTACTTAATTGATAGACATCCAACAAATTGGTCTTGAAAGAAAATATGAATAACACGAGAGCTATTTCATGACAGTTTTTTTATACTATATGTATGTTTATTTATTACTTGTTCTATCAGTCGGCAATCAAGGACCTGTCCCGTCTGACGGATCAGAAGGCGGAATTGATCGAGCTGCTGTCGCTTCGAGACACCACACAAAAACAACTGCAAGAGTTAAACGACAGGCTGCACACGATGGCCCTCGTGCTTGGAGAACCCAAGGTACGCTACATATATTTGGATAACTTTGTATCTGCTAAACTATCGTGGATTTAACTCTCATTACTTAAAAATTAATATTCCATCACGTATTTGTGTTGTTTTAGTACTGTATCCTTTGTTACCAAACGGAATTTTAGAACAATTAATACTGTGTCCCAACAAATACAAAGTTTCCTGTCTCATTATTCCATGTTATATTTATAATTGGGTCCTATAGGCGGCGCTGCTGACTCGTCAACTAGCTCGTGGTGCGGTGTGCGGCGCTTGTGGAGCCTCCGCCCTCATGGAGCCTCGGGACGCTAACGCGGGCGCTCCGCCCCGCCTGCCGCCGCTCAGAGCGGAGCCCGAGCCGGAGCCCTGCAATCGATGGATCATCGCTGAGCCGCCGCTTGAAAGGTCAATAACTTTTTACATCAATTCACTATTCTTTAATATCTTTGAATGTATCAAGGGACGTAGTTGCGTGCAAAAATTTTAATGTTTCCTAAGAATACGCTCACTGATTTAAATACTCCTTGACGGAGACGCGTGTTCGATTTATTAAACAGCTTTCGAGTGTATAACCTATACGTGCAACACAGAGGCAGTATATATATTTCAACAAAGAAATGTTTATACATAAAATGGAATGGAATAGAATGATCACAGTTTGGATGTACTTGAAAAATTCTTGTTACTATAAAATATATCAGTCAGAGAAAAAATTGACAAAATGTGCTATAGGACATAGGACAACAAATTTTTTTTCTATCCATTTTAAATGCAAGTGATAGGTGTTAATATTACTAAAAGTAAATCGTCTTCACCAGACACGTATGTCACCGATGGGCGGGAGGGTCCCACACGTTGTTGAGTTCGACCACACACGAGCGAGCCCCGGGTCTGGACCTCAGTGAGATCCGCACCATGAAGTACACGGGCCACGGCACAGACGGACGGGTTAGACGAACATACATACAATATATATACTACTTTAGAACCGCCACTTTGGCCATAAACAATTTGTAATGTATGCATACTTAAATGAAATAGACATGACAAACAAATCTCTTGCCGTCGATAGTGTGACACGGGCTTTGTACGAAATACAACTTTAATATAATGTACCTTAAAGAGATGTAAGAGGTGTATGAATAAATTGTAGCCTATTATGTTATTCTGAAGTTTAGCTCCTGCACTGTAGAGTTTTGTCACAATCAGTTCAGTATATTTTCGGTGAAAAAACAACAAATGAAAATACATTTTTCAAAACGGTTACATTTATACTATTAGTAGGTTTAGCAAGCAATTTTAATTGACATCATATGAAAGCTATTTTGACACGATACAAAATGTTTTTTTCAACGCACTTTAGTAAGTTTTAAAGATAAAATGCACCTTCTCAATAGCTTAATTCGCTCCTAATGAATCATTTGCTCCTAAAGCTTGGAGTAATCAATGTATTATGTATTTCAAGCTGTACATGTTGGAAGAAGATCTCAAGCCGTGCGTTGAATGTAACATGCTCACTACGGACGTACCTCCAGAAGGAGCTCCGCCTAGCGACCTCGGAGCAGGAGACACGACATGACGAGAGAACCCGCGGTATATATATGTATGTGTGTTTTGGATTTATTCTACTTTTAGATTAACATGTTATTAATAATTTACAAATTGATGATGATGTTTAAAAATTACGAATATTTTTGCGATGTTATTATATAATAAAATGATCTTAATGAACTTTGTTTTTACTTTAAATAAGTACCATGAGGTATAGTTTTATATGTGTATATACTCTTATATATACGCTTGTGTGACTTGAGTTGGACACAAATTTATTATATGTAACAGATATGTAAAACTAAGTAATATATTTATATACTTGTATGCATAAAGATTTATTTTCTAACAAACTTAACCGTTCAATTATTATTATAAGCAATTGTTTAATAAATTAACATATAATTTGTCTATTATTTTCTAGTAATGAGAGGGTTCTCACTAATATGGAAAAAATCTAAATAATGAACCTTGAAGACATTCATGTGAAATTTAAATATTCTCTATTTCTTTAAAGCATAATGTAAGCAAAAGATCAAAATAATGGTTTAAAAAAAACTTAAAAACATATTAAAAACTGAAATTAAAAAATATCCTTAAATAGGTTTTTTTAAATTCCTAAACAGAGTAAAAATAGTAATCGAATGGTGTAATTGAAGAATTTGAATAGCTTAAACAAAATTTTAAATGGAGACAGTTTTTCCAATGGCTCTCTGGATTGTTAAATTTAACATAATATTTTTTTAAAATAAAAAACAAAATAATTTGTAAAATGTGATAAAAAAATAAGTGTGACCCATAATATTGTTATAACATTTTTTATTATTAATAAATAAATAATTTACAATTTTTGGAAGCGTATTTACAACTTACAGCTTGATTATAATAATTAAAATAAATTACAGTTTGATCTACAAACAGTTAAATAAATAAATTGAATAAATAGTTTCACAACACTCGCATTGTTTAATATATGATATTAAAGTAACGTTTACTTTTATAGAGTTTACTTTAAATGTAACTTTCTTTTTCTTACAACGTCTAAGCTATCTCTTAAAAACACAATATATTAATTACTAACATTTGTTATGTTAAGTAATACTTTAATATCAGTAAAACCTAATAAAATCATGAAAAAAAACTTAGTATATCGAAGTATTTCTACGTCATTAAGATAAATAAATGTATGCCATTCGCTTTATCGGCGAGTATTTTTTTATCACAAAAATACAATTCGATAAAGCCGGTACTTTCAAATCCTGTTGACATTAACTCATACTCGTCTCTGGTCCTTCAATTTGTACTTATATAGTTGTGGTGTGGAGTATCAGAGAGTGTCGCAATGGAATCTGTAACAGTCGTGGTCTCTACTGGCTGACATTACATCACCGAGCTGATGGGCCACTGCCGCCGCGCCCGCTGCGTTCCCGCGAGATATCCTGGAATATTCAATACATATATAAATATAACACATAAAATACCTGACAAAATACTCTATAAGAAGCACGTATTTGTGTTATGGTAATACCCATCATATTTGTTCCCTATCATAAAGCAATCTGGTATTTCATTAAATTGTTGTTAAATTAACAAACTTTTTGGTTAATATATGTATAAAGAATGAATTATTAATTATAAAGCGTTAAGAATTATACATACTTGAGGTTTAAATTATATAAAACGATTCCATAGATCCAGGATTCAGATTATAAAATAACTATAGAGCTGTTTTTAAATGATTTTTTGTCGTATTTATATAATGTTTGCTTTAAGTAACGTTATAATAAAGACTAAATCCGTGAATCCACTCCCTCACAGACCCGCATCTCAGTATTCTGTGACCATAAAAGCATGTGAATGCGTGAATATTTCCACTGACACGAATATGTCTGGTCCTCATAAAGCGGTCGTTCTTGAGAAGCACAGACTAGTTTTCCGTATAAATTAAAATTAAATTTATTACGTTTATAAATGAATTTTCTAATATATTTATCCGTATTAAGATCGATGTGATGCTCTGTATTAGAATTTAACTATAGAAAACCGTCTTATTCATTCATTTTAACTCAACAAACCTAATTTATAATGGGTTTTTCTGATAATTAAGTAACTAAAGTCGTTAATCTATATTTAGTACTACGCACGACGCGCTGCTGAATACATAAAAAAAAACAATAAATGTTTTAGTATTTTGTTTTAGTATTATAACATTTCCAGTCATTGATTTATGATAGGGGCCTGAGTTGGCTCACTCGTCAACTCCGCGTGAATATATCAGTTATAAATTGTAATTTACGTTTTGTATGACACGGAGAATGCGCTCCGATCACTTTCACCTCTGGTGCGTGTTTCCGAGCGTTACGTAACTGTTACCGTTTGACGTCCATTTCGGCGGCAAACGGTCTGTATTTATTTGTGACTATTATCTTTTCTCGTTTTATAATGTCGTAATATTATTCTGTTTTATTTAAAGTGTAAGTAGAACGAGGTACAGCCATCGACGTGTTAACGAGAACCATCTTTATAGTAATTATTGTTAAGTGAACGCACTGATCTACTGACATACATACGCTTAGATAATTATTTGATATGAATTTCTTGATGATATTGAGAGATATATTTTTATTTAAAAATTTTAAATTTCAAACCAAACAACGTAAATGATATTCTGTAACTAAAGGACTTTTCATTAACATTATAAAACAAAGATATGATTTATAAGTTTCTCGACTATTTAAATATACGTCGCCGCGCCGCGCCGGTTGTAAATTGTTACCTGTACACTGTACAGGTAATGACGAGGCACTCGAATAACTTTCACATTATGTACATATGTTATTAATTTTTAAAATACTATCCACCTCATTACATGACTTTTACTTTTATTCCAACAAAGTTTAGTATAGTTTTTGAATTTGAAACCTATTTGTAATTAAATACTCGACATATAGAGGTATTATTTACATAATTCAATAAGTGCTTCTCACATGTTATAAGTTTTGTCTCGTGTGAAGAAAGTGTCTTGGGTTACACAACACCAGTCAAGTGTATTGTTTACTGACGGTGTTGAGTGACCTTTAGAAAGTTGTGTGAAGGCATCCGGAAATAGTCGGGGAGTAACCTTGAATGGTGTTTGTTCATCATCGACTGTTTGTATTATATATTGGGTGTTGAATATTATATCGATCGATCTATTAAGAATATTTTATAAGTACAAAAAGTAATGCTTACATTTTAAGAAGAGATTCCATTTTCTTCTCCATACCGAACAACGAGTCGGAGGACTGCGAGGTTAACACTTTACAGAACGTGAACTTAGCGCACTGTGAGTCCCTCCAGTCCGTCTGTTTGACCAGCTCCATGGCTGCGGAGGTCAGGCTCGAGGAACCAGAAACGCTCTCCAAATCTTGTAAATCACCCGACATGTCGTCTCCCAGAGATCTTTTCACACTCCGCCTCCTTCGTACAAAGTTTTGATAAGGATCGTAATAGGTCACGGTGTTCCTCTTCGACCGACCCACATCACTGTCTTCTGGTGACATCACCACGTACACGTTCTCGCTCGGCATCTTGTAGTTGTCGTCGTAAAACTTCTGTCTGCTTAATATTTTCCTATCGATGTCATATGGCGCGTTCATAAAAGCTCTTTTGTGTTCTTTGTCGAGATCGTCCTGTATGTCTTCTCCTCCACTGCGCATGATGTTGACGTCGAGTAGTTTACCGACGGCCACAGCGCCTAGTCCGAGGGCAGCACCACCAGCCATTAAACCCAAAGCTGGTAACATGGCGGGCGCTCCGGCTGCTGCAGCTACTCCAATTTTATCCTGAGCGTATCTCTGACTTTGGATGGAATTCGAAGGGTACAGACCCAAGTTATGAGATATTTTATGGGTCGCTTCAACGATGGGATCTAAAACGGGCTGTGTGACCCTCGCTATAGGGTCAATAAGCGGTCTCGTGAACTGGTGTACCGTTTGGCTTGCAGTATTGATGGTGTCTTTCATTGAATCCGTAATTCTTTGCCAGAATGATGGTTCGGGAGCACGTTTGACATAGCCGTAACCGTAAGGGTACTTGTTGTGAGAGTGATCGTAGTATGAGAACTTATTATATTCATCCTCATAGTACCTGTTGGCGCTGATTCCTGTGTTTTGGCTGCGTTGTTGATTGTATCCGTTGATGGGTTCCATCGGATAAGGATGAGCGCTCTTTGGTACGTTCGTGTAATACTTTACTTTTCGTTCCTTATTTTCGTAGTTTTCGGGGTTGTCTCTTCCAGCTTTAGCGGGCTGAACTCCAAGTTCCGGATGAGCATATTGTAAAACAGGATTTCTTACACTTTCATCAAAATCAGGCTTGGCGTCATTCGGAGTGTACATGAGTGAGTTTGGGAAGTTGGCTTCTCCTGGGTGTTGTAACATTCTTCGTTGAATGTGACTCTCAGCGTAGTCCAAGTCGCCGTTATGAGCTCTCGAGCTTCTTCCACTAAAGTAGTCCCGTTTAGATTCCTGTTCATTTATTTGTTTGATGTACTCAATAAGTTTGGAATTAGCAACCTTTGAGTTGTCGGCTTTCGTGAATGGACCGTATCCAGTTTTGACGAAGTCTTGTTCTTCTTTAGGCTTGTACGAGTAGCTGGGAATAAAGTCTTGGTTTTCAAATTTCATGTTATCAAACTTTGTGAACGGGCCATCCACTGGTTCAAAATTGTCCTCCTTCGTAAACGGTCCCAAGTTTTGTGATGGTTCTTCCGCCGCTATATCAGGATAAACATCGGCCTCGGGGATAGCTCTCGGTGGTGTGTAACCTTCGGGGTAGGGTATCAACTCGCCGTTGACAACTCTCGCATTTCTCCATGTTTTTTTGTCAGATTCATCGTCTGGCATTCTTATTCCTTGTATCTCCGGAATACCATCATCACCCAAAGTAAGAATGGACCTGCCACGTTTATTATTGTATTTGTCGACAGCTTTCTTTAAATACATGGGCTCCGAGCTTATAACTACTGGGTCAGGAACTTTTATCGGTTTCGTATCTTCATCGGACACCTTGGTACTAACAACTTCTATATAGACAGGGTTTCTGTCATTCTTTATAACCGGATTGTGAGGATCGAACCTGTAGCTCTTAATAGGGCCGCTGTAGTCCGTGTAACTCTTTGATGTTATATAAACTTTTTTATTCTCCGTTTTCTTTTCGTTATCGTAAGTTGGATAGTAGTTATAAGTTTCTGGGTCGGACTCTGGCTTCCCCCGTCCTCTTGTATATGTGACTCAGGGTAGACGGACACCGGGGACCAGTTCCCGTATTCAGCTTTAACATCAGCAAAGTCGTCATGTTTATGTCTGTTCAGATAATAATCAAAGCCAGCGAGGTCGCTGCTGACCGTTCCGAAATTAAGTTTCCTTTGATCTCTCGACTCGGTTTTGTTTTTATTTTCATTTGTTATGTTTGCCTTTGAGGTTGTGAGGGTAGTCCTGACTGATATGGTTGTAGGTACTGGTGTTGTACTGGAGCCTTGTGTCGTCGTTTTTCCATCTTTCTTCTTGACAATCAGTTGTGTCACATGACCCGACTTGGTCCTCACATTTAAGGTCTGTGTCTCGTGAGGGTTCAGACTTCTGGAGACCTTCAGTTCTGTGCGTGTGGTCCGTGAAGGCAGGATGGTCGTTCGGATCGTCTTGGTCGTGGTTGTAGTCGAGTTATCGCCATGATCCGCTCTGACGGCTATCGCACAGAACAGCCACAAAATGGCACAAGTCCGTATTGGGCTTACGGGAGCCATCTGGAATAAAACAAGATTGCGTTAATATCAATAATAATGATTTCGTTCATAAATCATATAATCATGAATGCGTTCTTGCAATAATTTGTCACTGGGGTTAACTTAAAACGGTAAAATGTACAGATCATTTTTAAGTTATTTTACAAAATGTTGAGTAGTTTACAAACACTGTTCCTATGAGTGCGCAGCACTGATATTTTAGATTACGAATTACTGAGTTTATGTTAATTTAATATGATTTAAATATGAAATTATAGTTTTTTAACTGCGCATAGTAAAGTGTATCACACATGAGTAACACACATAAACAATAAAAATGTTTTAAGACTAGAACAGTTAGGAATGTTGATACAATTAAGGGCATCTGTCTGTCCGTCTCACAAGTAGCCCGAGGCTGGCAACAAGTCCGGTGATGATCCGCGTGTTATCTTTATGGATGACCTTTGACACCAACGTCATTCTGGCACGCGCTTCACAGGCTTCCATCAAACATAACAAAAAAAATAGGTCAATATGATTCACATTCAGTTTTTAGTTAATTTCAATAACGCTAGCAGTCATTTGGTACGGCTGTTCCGAGTGAATCATCTAAATGTTCCACATCTGTTATATTACATGGCATAATGAGTGTAACAAGTGAAAATAAAAAAGAATTGATTAAAATGAAAGTGCAGCTAATGCGGCGCCGGCCAGCACCGTGGGTCGTGGAGGATCGATTTACTGCTTCGAAGAGTTATCCGTGTAATGACTAAATTATGTTTAATAATTTACTTTCATTACTAGTACTACAGATCAATGTAGGCTCTGAGTTTTGTAGATAAACTACCAAAAATATCAAATGAAAATCTTTCGTAAGTTTGTTAACATCATGCTACTATATTTTTAATCAAGACTCAAGTGTTGTCAAATGACGTCATTAAAACTGTCGCTTTCCTAGCGACGCGTCGTATGCTGATTTTAAATAAAATAAATAGCGACATTATTACAAAACATGACGCGTGTATCGAGGAATGTACAGTTTCACATAGCTGCATTAATTTGTAGAAATCGCAAGAAATGTTCTTTACCAAATTACAACTTCTTAGCTTATAGAGTCGTGCAATACCTTGGGTTTGTAGGAACGTGTAGCGCTTAATGATACTGTTTGTGACTTGCTTCATAATAAAATGTAATGACAGTCATCTATTGCTATTTATATAACTGATAAATTAGAATTCTAGTATCGATGACAAATTTTAATTAATTTATTATATGTTAAATAAAGTCATGGTAGCCTAGTGGTTAAAAGCCCGCCTCTTGTGCATGAGGGTGCGAGTTCGAAACCTGGCAAGTACCAATGTGATTTTTCCGAGTCATATGTACTTTCTATATTTAGACACCACTGACAAACGGTGAAGGAAAACATCGCGAGGAAACCTGAACTAGTCGTTTTAAATTATAAGTTTGAAATCAAAATCAGCTGTGGGCTCTGATAGGCTGATGATGATGATTTTAAACAATTTAATATCATTTAGAATAGTCTCGAAGACATTTTGTATATGTGCTGCGTATTAAAACCATTGCGTAATGCAACAGGTACCTGTAGTAACAATAGCGACATTGCCTAACAGAATCAAACAGTATTAGCTCGAGTGTAGTTAGAAGGAACTAACAAAGGCTCGAGCGTCACGCCTGTGTTATTAAACGCTAATTACATTATAAGAACTCATTAGTGCTATTTGTTCGAGTGCGTACTTACTAGAGCGGGAATAATTTATGAGTCGAGATCTCATTTAGATTAAAATATATATTTGCTAATGTCATTGAATATAATCTGCACGGCCGGATCTGTGTCGGAGCACCAAGTAAACGTTCAAATGAAATTGAAAAGATAAAAACTAAACAAAAAAATATATGAAATTTAAAGGCTGATTACGTGAACGTGTTGAAACCGGTCTTAAAATCGAAATGCCGATAAATTTTCCGTGTTTAATGTTACAGAGAGACCATCATACGGAACCGTTTATCATCGAAGTAGGTCGCTTTTCGCACCATCTTTATTTTCACGCAGTTTTCTTATTGTACGTTCACCGCCGGCGTCAACACAATACATTATTACACTATTTACTTATGGTTAGAAACCCTGAACTATTTAAAGTCTTTTTTTTTATAATAGAACAGCTTCTTAAATAATAATCATTTGAGTAAATACATATTGAATGAAATAACAGAAAATTATATATCAACTGCCATATAATAACTGTTTTTAAGAACACTTAGGCAGATCGTTAAAAGCAACATATATTTCCTATAGATTTTCTAACTTAATTTCAATATATATATCTATTTTGAAACGAGTTGATAATTAAAAAAAAATTATAATTAAAACTCAAAAAAATATAATATTTAATGGAAAAATATATGAATGAAAATCATTAGAAGAGATGTCGGGTTCAATGACCGAGCACGAAAGTGAAATCTCAAGTTGAACGTCCAGTCGACGGAACCGGAGGCTGTGTGCTGTACATACACAGACACACACACACACACACACACACACACACAAACATACACATTATATACAATTAATATACGTTTTATTTATACAATTGCTTTTTAATTTATATGATAAATTTTAAAAGAATCTTTACATACTATGAGATGCTATGATACTAAAATTTGTCGAGGAAAAATAAAATTTTGTATTTGTTTTACGATAAAAATATACTTGTATAAACGAAACACATTGTTAATACACATATGAATAAGGTTCAGATTAGATGCCAATCACTCAGAGAGGGATAAGAGTCGGTAGAAAATCAAACGACCATTACAATCCATCACTTGTACAGGCCGCAGGCGTGACTTTATTTCTCAACACCAGCGTTACCTGCATCTTAATTTCATTTTAGTTTCTACATCCCACTCGCAATACTCTAGTATTTAACGTTAAAGAATACTAATACTTCCAGATCTTGACTGTTTGTTTGTCACATTCATAACACATGTTATAAAATATCCTTTTAAACATATATTCAATGTTAGGCCCGACAGGCCTTAGCATCATGTTATCTAGCGTATTTTTCGGGCCAAGGTCCGCGGGCCCCGGAGGTCTGTTCGGACGGATGTTACGTAACCATCAAACCGCGTCCAATTCTATACAACCGTCAGATCCGAGCTTAGTGAAAGCCTTACGTCACTCGCCACCTAACAGCACGTTTAAAACATTATTACTACAAGGAAAATAAATTACTCGATGCTACTTGTGAGAACAATGAGATCGTCTTTTAGTTTCTAACAAACTTTTCAATTAAAACTCTTTATGTTTTATCATATTACAGTTTGAAGGCACCTCGTTTATAGTTACAGTTCAATTAACAATGTTATATATTGATACATCGCGTGCTGAGCGTCGCGTGCCCACTGTGACGTTGTAATGAATAAAAGACAGCAATGAAATTATATTCATAGATTAAATACTTCCGACTACAAAATGAAGTTTTTCCATGTCTTATTGAGACCTATTTAAGTTTAAGAAAAAAGTTCATTTCATGGTTAAATATTATTTCTTTATATAAGTTTAGAATCGGTGTCAAAGATATATAAAACTTAAAAAATAGATATCTATTGTACATATTTTCCATACCACACAGTGTTTAATATGCGGCCTCTCAGGTCTGATACAAAAAAACCACGAATGAAGGATATATAGTACTTTGAAGGCTGGGTTTCGTCTGATGCGTGAGAGAGCCGGTTGCCCTTTCCCGTTTCCCTTCCTTTCCCACTTTTTCCTCCCAATCTTCCCTAAACAAGGGTGGCGATACATCCACAACATCTTATGTTATGGTTGTCCATATGCGACGGTACTACCTTCATCAGGTAGGCAGTCTGCTAGGTTGCCGCTTTTAGAATAAATATATGTATAAATGTATGTACATATATTGGTCTGTGAAGTTTTGAAAATATTTGAGGCTACGTCTTAAGTGCAAGTTATTATAATAAACCTTTGTGGTTCCGTAAAAGGCTGTATTTTCCAATTAGTGTTTTACGTGCTGAAATAAGTCTACGCTTAGATATTTATTTCAATGTTATAACATAATTATTCAATTATTTTCTTCGCTCTATATACTAGACTATGTAAATATATAATCTACATATAACTGTTTACATGAAGAATTTGTTTTGAAAATGTAATAAATTAGGATTTAAAGAGATAATTTAATATGTGTAATGTATCTTTTAATCCAACTAGCACCTCTCAATATGAAATGAAAGAAAAAACTTGTTAAGAAGTCACAATAACTAAACTCACTTCACACAATGGATAAAGAAAGTATCTTTGAGTGAGTAAAGAGTCGATCTCACGCTCAGTAATTATATTTGAGAGTACAGACTCCTCATGTTTAATATGTCTCGCCATCATATATTTTTTTGTAAATTAATTGCCTATTATATTATCTTATTCATCATTTTATAATTATTTTCCGCATATTATTTTATATTTTAGTTCTCAGACCTGATAGTAAAATGATTTATAAGGTGAACATTTCTGTTGTAAAAAACAATGTCAGTTATCGGATATTTAAAGCATTTGTTTGTGGTCAAAATGCACTTTCATTAAAGGTCTTACAACAAAAACAATAAATAAAATTCTTCTTTTAAATATAAATGTTAAAAGTATAAATTTATTTCTGTGTCAACCATTACGCATGCTTCTGTCTATACAGTTTATTTTTCAAGGATTCCTTTGTTAATTTGTCTTCACAATATACAATAAAATATGTTTGTATTAGTGTTATGACAAAAACAGTTAACGAAAGACAAAGTCACAATGACTGACGTTCATTAAAACTGGAAACAAATTCTGTACATATATGTAACACAAATGAAACATACTAGAATAAGGACACTTATGGTGGTTTTGAGTGTAAAATAAATGAACATCATCAAGTGATGAGTGACCAGTGAACTCTCAATCTCTATTATTCAATGATACAAAATCTTCATATTAAATTGATTAC